TCGTCCGAGATCGCGAGATCCGACCCAACAAGCAAAGCAACGTGACCAAGGAGGACGTCATCCGATGGCTGGACTCGAAGCCGCGCGGCTCTGTGATCTACATGTCCTTCGGCAGCTCCATGGGGTTGACGACGGAGGAATACGACACGCTGGCCAAAGCGCTGGAAGAGTCCACGTGGCCGTTCGTATGGGCGATCCAACCGGGCTCTGGCGGGTCCGAAGAAGGGTACTACCCTCACGGGCTGGAGGCCAAAGCGCGCGAACGGGCCCTGATAATAACCGGATGGGCACCGCAGCTCCTGATACTGAGCCATCCCTCGACAGGCGGGTTCTTATCGCACTGCGGGTGGAACTTGACGGTGGAAGCCCTGGGCCGCGGTGTCCCGTATTTGGCATGGCCCATCAGGGGAGACCAATTCTACAATGCCAAGCTTGTGGCGCACCATCTGAAGGTGGGGTACAGGGTATCAGATGATGACTTGGTGATGGTCAAGAAGGAGGAGATAGTGAAGGGAATTGATAAGCTCATGAGTGATGAAGAGGTGAAGGAAAGAGCTGCCAAGGTTAGTGGCATGTTTCAAGGTGGATTCCCTGCCTGTGCACTGGCTGATTTAGATGCTTTTATCAATTTTCTCACCTAAAATCATGTTGACCAGAGATAAATATTACTTTCTCTTGAGTTTGGAGGAACATATGTAACAAGGTGCTCCCAAACTATTGGCATAGTCAAAGATAATTGGACCGAGAAAATATGTTATTCGCGGTGCTTTTGCTAATATAGAACAAAGTATCTCATACATCGGTGATCCCGCGCGTCCTACTAACGGGGCATCACCCATTCAGTCGAATTCTTTCGTGTGAAACCCGAAGAGATGTGATTAGAAGGGTAATACTAAGTCGGCAGGATAAGCAGTTATCGGCGTTGCATCGAATGATTTGTCCTGTGTCTAGAGAATGTAAAGTGGCTACAGGGGGCAGAAGGATTTGTGTCCACACATAAAGTCTATGTCAATCTTGCGGATGCGAACACACTGAAAACCTCACATCCACATCGGAACTTGTCGTTAGCAAAGGCATATTCAATTCGGTTTTGGACTTCATATGCTGTTCACACTGCACATCTTAATCATAGCATATTAAATTAAATAATTGTTTAGACATGGAAGAGGGGCCCGAGAAATATATAACTCGAGACATTATTTCCTACTTCTCAAGGCGGCCTATGTGTGATAGGTGCTATTCTCCTTGAGGCCACTCGTTAACATGATCAATAACCATTTTCAAACTCAGAACAAGTTCTCCTTGTTTAATTCCAGAAACAAAAAGAAAATGCTCACCTCATGGCGTGAAGATTTATTAATTCGAGGTTTGAAGAATTCCAATCCAATGAATCGATTAGTTCGACATTGATATGGTAAGCACGGCCATATAGGTTTAATGTAATGTCTTTGCGACTATTATAACTGTGAAGTACGACGATATATTGGCTTCCAAAAAGTTATTTGACGAACGCCCCTGCAACTGTAACATCTCGGAACTATTTTTAGGATAGTGCTTTACGTAAGAGATTTGCACTGCAAAGCGTTTTACTATAAATATAAATATATATGTTAAAATAAGAAAAGCAAAAAAACACAATAGAAAACAACATTATGGAGGTATTTCTTGTAGTATTTCTTTTTTTTATCTTTCTTATACATGATACAGATAGACAAACAAAGTAAAGGAGAATAATAAGACTATCAAGAAAGTGCAAATCGGTTGGAATAAAGCTCAAATCTCATCCTTATTGCTCATGAACTGTACAGTAATGTAATAAATATCTTACAAGTGCGTATAATTGTGGATTTAGAATATGGATTGATGGTAGGACAGGTTCTTTCATCCCACGTAAGCAGTGAGGTCATTGCGGGAAATAGATTGAGAAGAAAGTACAATGATTGGGTGATCTAACGACAGATTAAGCTGTCTATGTTCATACTGCCGGATTTGTGAGCGGGACAGTCTTGTGGCGTGAATGGGAATTAGTACGGAGTTCCTTACAAGACTAAATACTCCTCAATGATCAACAGCGATGTAGTACCATGAAGAAAAGGGTGAAAAGAACCCCTATGGAGAAGTGAAATCGAACATGACCCTTTTTTCATTCCATAAGGATCAAGACCAAATGAGCATTTTGACGTAAATTAGTTCTTGGCATCTCATATATAGAAATCAAAGATATAAGGATTTATTCGTTTTAAGTCAAAACAAATATATCCTATTTATTCTTTTCATTGGTCTCACTTTATGAACCCTGCTCTTACACAGATCAACCCCAGCCTCCAACCCAACTAATGAAGAGATCTTGGCGGCATTGCCCCATTTGAAAATTGAGCACAATTCTTGCAAAGAAATAGCTCACTTGTATCTCAATAGAGATGGGATATACGCTACACTATCATTGGATTGAATAGTTGATCTAGTTAAGATAGACTTCCATCTTATAACAAGTGATATCAACTCCTAGAAAGATGAAAGATCTCAAGCCAAGATTAGCTGCTAGTTTATCAAAGTAAGCGGAATGATTGCATGTGAGAAACTAATTCCTTTGCTAACATGGGCTTTACACAATCAATCAAATCATATAGGTATTCCTTCAATACAACAAAGGTTATCGAAAGGATCTCGGAGACTCACCAAAGCATGAAAGCCAGGATCTTTCATAAAATTTATTTTTATTTGAATAGTGTATAACCCATGGATAAGCTCACATTAACTTGTCAATTTGGAATTCAGTTCAGAATTTTCCTTGGGAGGTGTCGGGGTAATTTGCTAATATATAGAGATTCATAGGCGAAGGTATGAAATAATTTGTTGAGAAGGATGTTACAACTAGACTAAAAGCAGACGAAAAGGCATTTTTAATTGAAGCACTTAAGACCACTTAAGACTTCGACCCTTTTTTGCAATGGGCTATGCAACTACTTCTTTTTGGTAGGCCTCTACTTCATTGGGGTATGCCACTCTTCTTTAGAGTTAGGCTAGAAAGACTCCTTCTCCAAGATAGGCATCATTGGATTTGAGATCTCATTCAAGAAAAATATATCAAATATCAGGAGTTTTTTTACATGTTCATATTCTATCAATGTTGGAAAGATAAAGACGATTAGTCGGCAGAGTCCAAATTTAATAGAAGATGTGGCTCAAATCAATAAAGAAAGAATAACAACTCTATTTGCCTTTCCAATAGATATTTATGCTTATCTCTAGAAAAGTATTCTGTCTTATTTAGAGATGAAATTCCCCAAGTTAATATGAAGAATTGGGGGGTTTTCCATTGTGGACGTCAGCTTCCAAGGGTCCTCTCCTTGGTCGACCGAACCACGTTAAATCCTTTTCTCCTTCTTCATGTGTGTGTGATTACAAAGAAAACAAGGTATCAGAGCTAGGTTCGAGTGTGGTGCCTATGCTATTGAAGTCGCTATTCACTGCTTAATTCTACTGCTGATTTAAAAAAGCTTTTGATCATCTCCTTTCTTCTTGTTAAAATGACTAGCTCTTTAGTCGACCAAAGAGAGGCTTGGAAGCCTACATCCACAATGGGAAATCCCCGATTCTTCATATCACCTCGGGAGATTTCATTATCTTTAAATAAGATAGAATTCATCTTTGGGGATAAACATGAATATCTATTGGAAATGCAAATACAGTTGTTATTTCTTTCTTTATCGATTTGAGCCAAATCTACTACTAAATTTAGATTTTATAAACTAGTCGTTCTTAATCATACTAAGGTCACTTGGAGTTGGTCGACCATATATTGGGATATCTAAAGTCATCATGCCCTAGACGTGTCATTGTTATAAAGAATCATGGTCACACAAAGATTGAAAGTTATGCTGATGCATATTGGTTTGGAAATCCCACAGATGGAAGATCCACGATGGGGTTATGCACCTTTGTAGGAGAAAACCTAGTCACTTGGAAGAGCAAAAAGCAAAGTGTGTTAACTAGGTCAAGTGCGGAAGCTGAGTACAGAGCCATGGCTTCAACCACATGTGAATTAGTCTGGCTTTGTTTATTGTTGTAGTAATTGGGTCTTAATAAGCTTCAAACTCCTTCGAAATTGTTCTATGATAATCAAGCAAGAATTCATATTGCTTCAAATTCGATCTTTCATGAAAGGACCAAGCACAAAGAGGTCGATTGTCACTATATCCGTGAGAAAGTTTAAGACAAGACAATTGAGACTCCATACACCAGAAAATGAAGGTCAATTGGCTGACATATTTACTAAAACGTTTTCCACCAAAAATTTTCAGCTAGTGATGATCAAGCTGACCTCTGATGACATCCTTGTCCCAACTTGGAGGGGAAGTGTTCGAAAGATAAGTGTGACTAGTCATTAGAGTTCAAATTTAGTAGCAGATTTGGCTCAAATCAATAAAAAATGAAATAACGACTATATCTGTCTTTCTAATATATATTCATGTTTATTATGTAAAGTTAATGAAATCCCCAAGGTGACATGAAGAATTAGGAGTTTCCCATCATGGACGTAGGCTTCCAAGGGTTCTCTCCCTGGTCTATTGAACCCCGTTAAATTATTTTCTCCTTCTTCGTGTATGTGTGTGATTACAGAGAAAGCAATCAGTATGATAAGAACCAGACAAATATAAGTAAATAAGAGTAACAAAACTATCAAGAAAATAGAAAGTATTAATAAAGTAGCAACATCATATGATATATTCTGCATATATTGACACATAAAATTTATAAAGAGCAAGGAAGAAGAAACTTATGAAATAAGTGTAATATTGATCTCACCAAACGGTCCATGCACTTTCTTTTATTTATTTATATATTTATTTGTTTTTCTCTGCTTCATTCTCCACATGAGAATAGAAAGAAGAAGTTCGTTCCCACGATCCAACCAGTCAAGGCTTAAGACTCAGGCTGACTCGCTCCTCTCCTTTTGATCCGCGACACCCACCTTCGTCACTCCTCGAAAGCTTCCCATGTCGGCGACGGCGGAGATCTTCGTCGTCACCGGGCCGGGGCAAGGCGACCTCCACCCCAGCATGGAGCTCTGCCTCCACCTCACCCGCCGCGGCTACTTCGCCACCCTCGTCATCCCCTCCCATCTCTTCTCCGCCATCCCTCCCTTCTTCGCCTCCAACCCCCTCGTCGCCGTCGCCCAGATCGCCGGCTCCTCCGGCCCTCCCATGCACGTCTCCGACCAGCTCAACCAGCCCGCCGGCCGGGATCTCTTGGCCCACCTGGAGAAACGGACGGCCGGTAGCGACCCGCCGCGCGTGGTGTGCGCGGTCGTGGATTTCTAGGTGGGGTGGGCCAGGGAAGTGCTCTGGAAGTTCGACGTCCCAGTGATCAGCTTCGTCACCTTCAGTGCGTGCGCAGCGGCCATGGAGCTAGGCGCGTGGAGGGTGCAGGCGGGCGACGTCCGGCCCGGCGAAGCTCGCTTGATTCCCGGGCTGCCCTTGGAAATGGCCGTCGTGTATTCCGATCTTAAAAGGAAGCCAATCGACACGCCAAGAACAGCTAAAAAAAGAAGATGACGAAGCTCACTGACCATCGAGCACTTGCTCTTGGACAGAGAAGCAGCCGGCGGAGGCGATGGCAGCTTCGGGCTCGGAGCTGGGGACGGGAAGCCGATGGTGGTGGCGACGAAAAGGCGAAGTATCATAGGAGGAAGAGAGAGAGAGGGACGGACAAAACTCACTGACACGAAAAGTGTGATTGAGTTCTAAAATTTTCAAAAGGTTGAGTTCTAAAATTTTCAAAACGAGTCTTTAAAAAGTGTCAAATTGGTTCAATCAAGTTTTTTGTTGATCGCACGTTTTTTGAAAGTTCCATAATTCAATTGCATTTTCTGATAAATTTTAAGTATTCTAATGCACTTACTTACATGATCAAGACAACTAACCTTGCGAGATCCTTCTCCAAATATCACCTATCCAAAGAAGCATCATCACTCCCTAAGCAAGCGTAAGCGATTACGTACTCATCTCCGTTCATTTGATATATTAGCCTTGACAAAAGTAACCAACTCCACGACCTCTGAGTCGAATAAAGCCGCCATTGCCACGCTCACACCCGTTAGTCAACAGCTTCTCTCGTACATAAGTTGTTCAAATTTTGTATCTTTCGAATAGATTGGTCCGAAACCAATGGCAGGAGGTGAGATTTGGGTCCTCCCGGCTTTCGGGCAAGGCCATCTCTTCCCCTGCATCGAGCTGTGCAAGCTCGTCACCTCCCGAAACCGCAAGGCCACCCTCGTCGTCTCCTCCATTCTCTCTTCCTCTGTCCCCTCCACCTTCCACGACCACCCTCTCACGGACGTCATCGTCGTCCCGGCAGATCCGCCGCGTGGCGGCAGCGACGGGATTCAACTCCATATGGAACGTGGCAAGGCCCAGCTCGCTGACTTCCTCAAGGAGCTCCTCACGGCCCGGTTGGGGAGCTCGACCTGGCCCGTCTGCGCCGTGCTTGATGTTCTCGTCATAAGTGGCTGGGCGGCTGAAGTGTTCGACAAGTTTGGAGTTCGGACGGTCGGATTTTTCACCTCCGGAGGTTGCTCCGCCGCGATGGATCTCGCGGCCTGGAAGGGTAGCCCGCTGGACATCGAGCCCGGGGAGACCCGTTTGCTTCCTGGGTTACCCGAAGAAATGGGGCTCACGGTTTCGGATCTTAAAAGGCGGACTAGCGTGGCTAGATTGCGGAAGTGGGGCCAGCAGCAGGGGCATGGAGCGGGTTCGGACACGGGTCCAGGTTCTTCTCGGCCTTTGGGTCTGGGTGGGCCGCCGAGGATGCCCGGCGAAAAGCCATACTGGGTGGATCCCACCGAGAGCTCTATCGCGTTGGTGATCAACACGTGTCACGATCTCGAAGGTCCATTTCTTGATTACCTAGCCAATCAAGTTGGCAAACCCGTTTGGGGCGTGGGTCCACTTCTCCCGGATCAATACTGGATGTCATCCGGTTCTCTCGTCCGAGATCGCGAGATCCGACCCAGCAAGCAAAGCAACGTGACCGAGGAGGACGTCATCCGATGGCTGGACTCGAAGCCGCGCGGCTCCGTGATCTACGTGTCCTTTGGCAGCTCCGTGGGGCTGACGACGGAGGAATACGACACGCTGGCCAAGGCGTTGGAAGGGTCCGCGTGGCCGTTCATATGGGCGATCCAACCGGGCTCAGGCGGGTCCAGAGAAGGGTACTACCCTAACGGGCTGGAGGCCAAGGTGCGCGAACGGGCCCTGATAATAACTGGATGGGCACCGCAGCTCCTGATACTGAGCCATTCGTCGACGGGCGGATTCTTATCGCACTGCGGGTGGAACTCGACGGTGGAAGCCCTGGGCCGCGGGGTCCCCTTTTTGGCATGGCCCATCAGGGGGGACCAGTTCTACAATGCCAAGCTGGTGGCGCACCATCTGAAGGTGGGGTACAGGGTATCAGATGATGACTTGGTGATGGTCAAGAAGGAGGAGATAGTGAAGGGAATTGATAAGCTCATGAGTGATGAAGAGGTGAAGGAAAGAGCTGCCAAGGTAAGTGGCATGTTTCAGGGTGGATTCCCTGCAAGTGCAGTGGCTGATTTAGATGCTTTTATCAATTTTCTCACCTAAAATCATGTTGACTTGAGATAAATACTTTCTCTTGAGTTTGGAGGAACATTTGTAACAAGGTTCTCCCAACCTACTGGCATAGTAAGAGATAATTGGACCAAGAAAATATGTTATTCTCGGTGCTTTTGCTAATGTAGAACAAAGTATCTCATGCATCAGTAATCCCGCATGTTCTACTGACGTGGCATTACCCATTTAGTCAAATTCTTCCATGTAGCTAACACTATGAAATTCAGAGAGATGTGATTAGGAGGGTAATACTAAATAGGCGGGATACGTGGTTATCGCCATTGGATCGAATGATTTGTCCATATCTACAGAATGTAAAGTGGCTAAAAGGGCTGAAGAATTCGTGTCCACACATAAAATCTATGTTAATCTTGCGGATGCGAGCACATTGAAAACCTCACATCCACATCGGAACTCGTCATTGTCAAAGGCATACTCAATTTGGTTTTGGACTTCCAATGCTGTTCCCGCTGCACATCTTAATCTAGCATATTAAATTATATAATTGTTTGGACATGGAAGAGGTGCCCGAGAAATATATAACTCGAGACATTATTTCCTACTTATCAAGGTCACCTATGTGTGATCGGTGCTATTCTCCTTGAGGCCACTCGTTAACATGATCAATCACCATTTTCAAACTTAGAACAAGTTCTCCAAGTTTAATTCCATAGACAAAAGGAAAATGCTCACCTCATGCGTGAAGATTTATTAATTCTGACGTTTGAAGAATTCCAATCTAATGAATCGATTAGTTCAACATTGATACGGTAAGCACGACCATACAAGTTTAATGAATGTTTTTGTGACTATTATAACTGTGAAATACGATGATATATTGGCTTCAAAAAGTTAATTGACGAACACCCTTTGTAACTGCAACATCTCGCAAATAGTTTTAGCATATTGCTCTACGTAATATTAAAGATTTTATTAAAAAAGATTTGCAATTGCTTTACATAAGTAGCAGTTTTGCCCAAACGGGAGCCATACATGCATTAGCTCAAATCTCATTCTTATTGCTCATGGACTGTACAGTAATGTAATGAAGATCGTATATATACATGCAATTGTGGATTTAGAATATGGATTGATGGTAGGACGTGTTCTTTCATCCCACGCAAGCAATGAGGTCTTGTACAATGACTGGGTGATCTAACGACAAATTAAGCTGTCTTCGTTGATTGGGAAATTTGGGATACTGCCGGATTTATGAGCGGGACAATCTTGTAGCGTGGATGGGAATAAGCACGGACTACCTTACAAGACTATATACTCCTGCATGATCAAGTGCTAAGTAGTACCAAGAAAAAAAACGTGATGTTGACACTTAAATTTTGGCGTATCATTTAGTCGTAATTTGTATAGAAAATTAGGGATTAAATTTTTAACCCCTAAACAAAAATATTTAGGTTGCATAACATATAGTTTAAATTCATTTTAGATTAATTGCATTTTGCATCGGACCGGCGGTGACGAACGAGCTTAAATTTCATCGAATGGGACTCGGCTCGCTTGGAATGCAAGGGCCGGGAATTACAAGTCAAACGGGCTCGATTGTTTTAATTTGAGCTTAATTCAGCCCATTATCCTTAATTAATTCAGCCCATTTAAATTAAATTAAAATCTAAGCCCAAGCCTAAGCCCATTAGGACTAGAGAGCCCATCTAATTAACCTAGATTAGTGTTATATATACATCATTAGGTCAGGATTTTAAGGGGGCCACACATTGAATACACGGCCACAAAGAGAGCTCCGCGATATTACAGAAAAGAGAAATCGTGAGAAGCCGCACCATAGAGGAGAAGAAGAACTCACGGCATAAGTCAAAGGGTTCTCAGTCAGTGGAGCACTCACACTGAAGTCCATTGGCCAAAGAGGATGCTGCCACTTACTGAACGAAGTACAGTGGAGACTTCGCATATTCAACGGACAGCCCAGCGGATTGCGGTTCCTTCTGCTCGGTGACGCAGTCAACTTCCAGGAGATCCGTTTATCGCTATGCATCCTGTCACGCGTACTGCTGCGATCGTGATTCCCGTCGCCTCGCCTTCATGCCTTTGAAGGTTTTCCAGAGCAGCCGCGTGTCCTCACTGACGTATCCAAGCTGACGACATAGCAACTCCACGATTGCTGTTGCTGCGCCCACCCGAGCGGCTCTTTCTCTTTTGCAGGGTTTCTTGACGTTCCTCAGGGTTTTCTTGCTGAGCACCACCACGGAACATAGTCACCGCGAGCCTAGCGCCAAGAAGAGCTGCTGTCCCAACCCCATGCGGTCGGGCTGCCGTCCCGAAGTTGAGCAGCCCCATCGGCCAAGCATTCTGTGAGCCCCCGCCAAGTTGCTGTTCAGCCGGTCATCGCCCCCGCCGTCTTCGACGCCCGTGAGCCACCGTGTCGTCGCCACCACCGCCGTCTCGATCCGCAAAGCCCGATCCCGATCCACAATTCGAATTTGGGAATTATCTGCAATTAGGTAATTCAACATTATCCGATATTTTCAGAATATTTAATTTCCTAATATGGGTGTTTGAATATTTCGTGAATATCATGTGGATATCTAGATATCTTAGGATAATATTTTCGATATCCACAATATTCGAAAACACCCAAAATTAGGAATCATTCCTAATTTGGCAACGTATCTGGACGACTATCCGACCTTATCCCTAAGGTACGATACGCGGCGATACGGAAAATCGTTATCTTATCCATAACCACTTGGGTACGATAATGATTTTTATCCGCTTTCCAAATTTGAATAATCGGCTTTCCGTCGATATCTATAACCCTATAGATATGACCGATAGTTTGATTTTTGTGCCTAATCCGAGTTTGAAACAAATATGGCGGATCCCGTGGACATTTTGAATGTGGTTGCTATCCTTGTTTATTTAATTGCTTTCCTTTTTCAAATAAACAGAAAATTCAAAAAAAAATATTAGATAGATTTGAATTAGAGTTTTCACATGTCTAGGAATCCTAAATATATCTAGAAGATAGAGTAGTTGTTTAATTTAAATTAGGACTTGAGATGATCTATTTCCTAGTTTAAATTAAGTAATATTCTAATCTTAATAGATTATTCAGGTTATTTTATTATTTCGAATTTCCATGAAAATCCCAAAAAAGAAGAATGAATTGTTTTAGGATAGATTAGGATAGATTGTATTCTTAATTTAAGTAATTCATTATTTCGAATTTTAACAAAAATCCTAAAAAGAAATCATGCTAGGGTAGATTAAGTCATCATAGTTTGCATGTTAATTTAGGCATTTTTATTATTCCGAATTTAAATTGAGAAAATACCAAAAATAATCATTCGTCCTGTCATTAGAAATAGGTCACGTCGTCGCACGACATATAGTTTGCATGCTAGGTTGCATTAATCGCATGTCATTGCATATAGGCTAGATTTCATTTAAATAAGTGAAAATCCAAAAAAGAAATTGAGTGAATTGCTTGTTAATTAGAAATCATATTAGGGTGTCAATGTGATTTTCTAGCTAACAATGCAGATGCTTACGTTGCTTCCAGGTAAGTAATTCTTCCAAACTTGCAATTTATTTAATGCTTTCTGGGTGTTAAATTGGTGGTTTGCGCACTCGCATGAACACCTCACATGTTAGTAACTAAGTTGAAATGGATCCAAACTGCCTGCCAAAACATTTTTGAAAAGAAAAGGTACCGAAAGGGCGTTAGACCAGATCTAGCGTAATCAAGTCCCCGGGCTTAGAATCTCTGGTTCGTAGGAATAAAACATATCTCCCTATGTTTTATTTAGGTTTCTAATCAACCTACCATAAATTGATTAGTGGCGACTCCGAGCATAAAAACTTTTGCATGTTAAAAACTTAAACTCAAAGTTGCGAATTGGTAGGGCTTGGGAGGGCCCGAGTTAAGATTAGTCTTAATAATCCATTAGCCCGAAAAATGAGGAATTTTTTTATGGTCGCGACAGCTTGGCGACTCCGCTGGGGACTTGAGTTAAAACTCTTAGTGGACTTAGGCCAATTTTTCTTTTTAAAAAAAAAACATTTTTGTTTGGCAACGAGGATCCCAGGTACGTCCCTAACATTTTAAGTGTTAAATGTTTTTGCAGAATGGGAGGTATAAGGGGAGGCGTGATTGTTAACCCTTGTTTTGCAGGGAGGTGTTTGGATGTATGGTTTATTTTACGCACGAAGCGCTGTTTGATATAACATGTTGTGCATGCCTTGCATTTACACTACACCGCACACACTACCCGCTGCCGGACCTGGGCGGCACAGGTTTAGGATGGTACTGAGACAGCGGACACCCCGACCACACCCGCGTGGTACGGGTCGCCCTCCTTGGTCCCGAAAGTTCTTTCACGGTGTCATTGAGTTCCCACCACGGTTGCACCCTTTGCAACCCGGGTCGGCTCCTTGACTAAGCCGGAGTAAGGGGTATCCCAGCCTAACCACCATCATGACTGGTTTAGCTCGGTAATCCTCGCGTCTCCACTTTGCAAGCCAGAGTTTAGATAGAAATCGAACCTCACATTTCATACGCATGTCTATGTGGTTGCCATGGTCCTACCAGGTGAAGTAAGTCTTCTGAACCTTTATCTTGCAGTTTACTTATTTTCTCGTATTTTTTTGGGTGATCCATGACAGGTCTAGGTAGGTTTTAATTTGAAAGCCATAATCATTGAGTCCTTTGAAAAGAAAAAAGAAAGAAAGAAAGAAAGCCTTTTTTTTAGAGAATTTATTTCCTGGGTAATTATTTTCACAAGAGGTTGTTATCGTTTTTATAACAAAAATGGCGAAAAAAAAATTTCAGAGAGTTTGTTTTCAGTTCATAGTTTCTAGGGAGTCTTAATTTTTGGTTTTCCTAATTTTATGATTGGGGATTTCGATGCGTCTATTTCCTAGGTTGTGTCTAGAGTGTTATTTATATTTCTTTGCTTAGAGCACTTTTCCATAAAGTCTCGTTCATATACGAGTATTTTTATGAATAAACGAAGAATGAAAAAGACTAGAAAGCGTGTCATGGACCAACCTTGTCTTGACCATGTGCTTATTTGGTTCATTTCTCTTAAATTAGGTGACTACGGATCATCCACAGTTATCGATCCGTCGCTCGAGCCTCGCCAAGGGGCAACCTCGCCGAGTTCCTTCATTGTTGCTCCTCCGCCACCGTGAGCTCACCGCCCGGCACAAACCGCAGCTCC